TGTGTGTGTGTGTGTGTGTGTGTGTGTGTGTGTATGTGTGTGTTTCCACTGTCCTTTGTTGTGTTTTCTGAGAGAAGTCTAAGAATTCTTACTTTGCCACTTCCTCTTTTGGGGAAAAAAGAGGCAACTCTGTCAATTTTATTTGCTTTTTTTAATTGAGCCAAGTAACTGAAGCATTGTATAGGCTCCACACTGAAAACAACTGCCTGTCTTTTCTCTTCTGCAGAAAAACCTTAGTGTGTGTAGAGCTAGTCTGTGTCTGCCCAGAGAAGTTGATCAAGGGCTCCAGACACTGGCTTCACATCACCCAAAGCCATGGGCTCACTGGGAGAAGTAATTCTTCTGTTAACCATACTGGTTGGTTGTGACTGGAGGTGGGGGTGGGGAGAATATGAGAGGGGACTATTGGTTCCCCCTTGCTTCCTGTAGGCAAGCGTCTCCTTCCTTCCTTCGTTTGTCTCTGTGTCTCTTCTCTTTGACCCGAAGGCTAATTTGTCTGCTTGATTCCCATCAGCTCAGACAGGTGAATAGATTTTTAGCTCAATGGACTGTTCTTCTGGCTTGTGTTTTTGTTTTGAGACAAAGGCTCATGTAGTCCAGGCTGGACTCAAACTCACTACATACCTGAGAATAACCCTGGGTTTCTGATCCCCCTGCCTTCCACCTTCTTGATGCTAGGGTTCCAGGCTTGTGTCACCAAGCCTAGTTCATGCAATGCTGTGACTGGAACCCAGGGTGTCTGGCACACTAAGTAAACACTTTACCAGCTGAGCTACAACCCCAGGATCGGGCTTTTGGTTTGGGGCATTAGTAATTACTTTGGGGTTGCACCTAGGGACACAAGTGTGAGCTCACTCTTACTTGGGGCTTGAAATGGAATATGAGTTTTGTTGCTGGCAAGGTGTGGACCACGTGCTGACGGGGAGAGGGCAATGAGGGCTTGCAGGAGGCCCCTCTGTCACATTGCGTTCCTCTAGACTGATAATGGCACTCGAAGTTATTATCAGGGAAAACCCTAGCATTATCATCTGCCTCAAACTACCACAAACTCACAACCCACTGTTCAGAATGGATATGGCGTGTGCGTAACACACTTTCCCAACAGTGAGAAGTGCTTTTAGTGCTGATGAAATAGGGCAGTAGACTTTCTAAGTACTGCGTGGTGTTGTAGAAAGAAAGACAGACAGACACACGGAAGGAAGAAAGGGAGGGAGGGAGGGAGGGAGGGAGAGAGAGAGGGAAACAGAAAGGAGGGAAGGAAAAAGAAAACACACACACACTTTTCTTTGTCTTTTTAGACAATGCTTTTGAACTGTCCTCCCTTTCATTTTAGCCACACTCTCCTCTCTATTTCCCATCCCAATGTAGCCACAGTTTTGACATTCTGGAATTGTTTGCTCATCCATTTGCTGTTTCGTTAGTTGTCTGTTTGTTTGTTTTGTTTTTTTGAGACAGGATCTTGTGCAGTCGAGTCTGGCCTCTGCTCACTATGCAGCAAAGGATGACCTTGAATGTCCGGTTCTCATGCCTCTGCCTCTTAAGCGCTGGGATTACAGGCATCACATCCATCCGGTTTATTTTCTCCTTTTAGAGTCAGTGTTTTCACTAGGTGAGCGTTTCTGAGTCCAGTGCTGGGAGAAAGGAGAGCAGGAAGCGAAAGCAGCAAGCTTGCTCTTCAGATGTGTGGCCTGAGTGACCCAAGACTTCAGTCTTGGCATCCCTTAAGAAAATCTACGAGGAAGTAAAGGTGCTACGGCCAAACCTGATGACGAGGGACTGAACTCGGGGACCAACGATGGAAAGAGAATATCTATTCCTACAGGCTGTCCTCTGATATGTGCACACACAGAATAAATAAATAAATGTAATGAAAAGCTTAGAGGGGCACAAAGAAACTCATTAGGTGAGATGCTAGCACCAGGAAAGCCGACCAACATTCTCTTGTACAAGGCTTGTGTTTAAACAACCCATGCAGAACTTGAAGACATTTATAAGCAAAAAGAAGTTTCTAAATCTGAAGGAACCCTCCCTGGCAGCCATCACTCATCCTGTACCCACCCACCACCCCCACCACAAAGTCACCCCTGGAAGGACCATGGGGGAAACAGAAACCCAGTGTTTTCTTTTAGAAACAGTAAGGCCAAATTCCCATTATAGGGTCATTTTGTGCACGTGCGATGAAATCTATTAAATGTTTATCTTAGAACCCCGGTTCAGTTGGGGAGGGAGAGGGGGGGAAAGCTGCAGTCCTGCCAACCAGTTGGTCTGTGTGAATCACAGCTCAGTCAGACTTGCAGGTCTATAATTTATCTTTTCTTTGGCCTCTGTGCTAAATGCTCCATTTGTCCATGAATTCTTGCCTTGTTTTAATTATGTTATGGTCTGAATGTAGTTTTATAAGGCGCACAAATAAGATTGTCATTCTGAAAACACAGATTTGTGTGTTTATCTCCCCTCCCCAAGATGAGCTGGGGGTCAGTGATCTCTGTCCTATTTCGTGGGTCTGTGGCTGCAATTCCAAACCCAGTGAGCAGTGACGGCAGGGGGGCGGGTGGGGGGGGATGGGGGGTGGGGGACAGAGCTGTGGGGGATGGGAGCCGGGCAGATAGCTGACATGGCAGAACCCAATGCATAATTTACTCTAAGAATTCTGAATCGATACCTCCAATGTTCAACTTTGCATTGTGGCGCTACTAGCTCCCAAAATGCTATTGATTGGGACGTTTTATTCACGTTATTTTCCAAGGGCTATATTTTCTCACTATACTTAAGAAACAATTGGTTTTCCCCTAAACACAAAAGTAGGCCACAGGGGCCAGATGAGAAAACTGAACAAATCAGAACCCTAGACCTTTTGCTGTTTTGTTTTTTTTTTAAGAAACCTTGCACATACACACATTCCGGTATCCATGTGCTTACAGGCCGAAGGAGAAATGGCTATCTCATACTCCGTAAAAAGATGTTTTACATGTGCAGAGCCCACGACGGACACTCAATATTTCAAATGTCAGTGAAATTGCCAACCAAAAGAATGGAAGTTTGAATTGCAACACAATTAAGCACACAAACATTTCCTTGGCAAATGTGAGAGAGGTCTTTTCTCCAGGAAAGAAACATGCTTATAATTGGGGGCGGGGTTACTCGGAAAGACATTTCAACTCCAAACACCGCTCCGGGCTGGACTGCACCCATTCTTGCTGTCTTGCAGCCACAGACAGCATCTGGAAGCCAGTCCCACCTGGGAACCCACCGCAGTTAAATCCAGCTGCGGTCTAGGAGGGTGTGCCTTATCTCAGCCCAATAGAGGAGGCCGACTTGGAAAAGTACCACTTCAAAACTGTTTACCAGCGGGTTCTTTGAGAGTTAGCATGGACTGAGTATGCCCAGGGTTTTGTGACTAAACACTTCAAGAACTGGCTGGCGGATGCTGGTTTGATTTGTCTAATCAAGGAGGATTTGGCTGAGTCACTAGGCAACCGAGCAAAGATGGGCAGAGTACAGCTCTTCATTCTCTCCTTGTAAATAATTCAGGTGATAGACTGACCTTGGGCCCCTACACCTTAAAAACCTATGACTGTTTAAAAGTCACCGCTCCCCCCCACCCCAGGGCTCTAGGAGCCCAGGGGCAATGATGCAAACCCAGTCAGAGTCTCTCCACCCAGGTGACATGTGTCAGCACTTGCCCCAATTGTCATGAGTACTGGTGACCAGTTCCTAGCCCTCAGAGAAGCAGCTTAGGGCTCTTGGCTTGCGCATATAAGACACTTTCTGCTGCAAGGCTGACATCTGTGAGTCCAGCCCCCTCCCCACATGCTGCTCATTTGACTGTTCGTCAAACTAGCTCAGTTTGGGAGTAGACAACTGCTAAGACATCTGACAACAACCCTGAGTCCAACCCTGAGTATGGGTGTAGTGAAAACACCGACAGCAGGAGCCTTCAACGCTTCAGTCTTCCCGACTTTTTCCAATCTCAGATGTCCAGAAATGTTGTCTGCAGTCTAATAGTCACCGTATAATTAACGCTTTGTTTTTTTTTTTTTCTTTTTCTTTTGAGACACAGTTTTATGTATCTCAGACTGGCTTTAGGGTAGTCAAGGATGACCCCGACCTTCAGATTTTCTTGCTTCCACCTTCCAAGTGGTGGGATTAGAAGCCAGAGCCTCTGTGCCTGGTGTGTGCAGGACTGGGGGTCAAACCCTGGGTTGCAAGTACACTAGGTGAACACTCACAGTCCACACCCCACGCCAGACACTTAAGTTCGTTAGAAGTCATTTTCTTCCCTAGTGTCTTTCGGTCTTGGCTCATCAACACCGATCCCGTGCCACAGCCTTGGATAAGGAGGCTAGATTCGCCTGTATGAGTGTCACCTACGGCCCCTTTTTCTTTACATAAAACAGGTTACAGAGATTTTGCTCTGAGGATGTTTCTGCCTACACAAACATAGAGGAGAGGTTAAGCTTACCTTGTCTAGGCTCTTGGATGACTGTAGAGTGACATGCGGAGCCATCTCACCCAATCAGAGTCTCCCACAGAAGCACCCACAGGAGAGGAAGTAGGTAAATTTTCATGCACTTACCTCCCCAGCAGGGACACCATGGGGATTCCCTGGCAAGGCAGGGGCCTCCTCGGCCTGGTCTTGGTCTCTCACTGTCTTGGCTTCTTCGGACTGGCTGCCAGCTGAGGCACGTTCTCTTCCCCTGTCTAGTTTAAATAGTTTGTCGAAGAAGCTGAAGTCCTTGGGCTTGGAGGTGCCTTCTGCACTGGACTCAGGTGGTGAAGGCGCTGGCGGGCAGGTGGCAGGGAAGGCCTGCTGCTTGGCCTCAGGACACCCTGGCGTTTTATCTGCAGCCGGCCCTGGTGCAGCTGCCACCGGAAGTGCCCCGTGCTCACTTGGGTCTTTGTTTGCAGGCACTGTGCCGGGGCTGACATCAAGCTTGCCCAATGCAGCCGATGAATCCGTGCCTTGGTCCCCGGGACGTCCTGGTACAGGCCGAGAGAGTGTCAAGAAAAAACTCGATCTAGCAGCTGGTGCCTTGGGCTTGGCTTCTTTCCCAAGATTCTTTCCGCTGGCCTTGGCCACAGCTTGGGCCTCCATTGTCTTGGGGGAAGAAGTAGCCACATTATCCTCGGAGATGCTTATTCCCAAATCGACTGTAAACACAAACATAAACAGTGGTCATTCAACAAGCCAGGAAATTCAAGGGTGAATAATGGACTCCAACTTTTGATAAACAAAGTCTGCTCTGCAGACAGGCAGCCTTGTGCCCTGTAGACATCTCCTGACCCGCTCTTCCTGGGAGAGAGACCCCCTGAGGCTGATGAGGCAGAAAGAAAAGCCAATGATTGGGACATCAATACCTGCCAGGCACCCTGTGTGTGTGTGTGTGTGTGTGTGTGTGTGTGTGTGTGTGTGTGTGTGTGACCCAAGGTCTACTGTCATCTTTTATCTCCCTGTAAAGCGAAGGTTTTCCTGTAGTAAATCACACTAGGTTAGAGTTTGGGCTCTGGAGCTGGGAGGTTGGTCAACCCTCAACGCTCTAGACATCTGGCCTTGAGCCTGTCTTTATCACGGATCTGCCCTGTGTATTATGCTAAGCAGCCCCATTGGTCCCAGCCCCTTGAATGTCCCTCACACCCCAATGCTGTGCTAGTCAAACTCACCCAGGGTCTGGGTGGCTGCCATCCTCCCCCAACAGGGACGTAATGACTGACAGACACTGTGATGATGCTGAAGGCTGCTCTCCATTCTTGCCATTATTGCATTCTGTTTAGTGTACACGGAGACAGACACCCAGACAGACACTGTTTGCAAGAGGTCAAGGAGCAGGATAAAGCAGGGAGAGGATGGGGGGTCTTTGTTATATTTCCATTACGCGTTAACATGGGACAATAAACACGCGCCCACACATGTGTGCATTCATAGTCACTCTGCCAAACTCTAGCATCTGGAGTCAGGAACCCGAGGACAGTGCCGGCTGTCTTCCTGTGTGTCTCAGTGACCTCTTAGGAACACAGAAGACAGAGAATTGACACGAGATGAGGCCAGTGATGAACTAGGGAGGCTTCATAAGGAAGCCCCCAGTCCGTGCATTAACTAACCCATCTAGCTCTCCTTCAGTTTTCTCCTGTGCTCCAGGAACTCCTACTGGAGACAAATACACTGCCTGGGGGTGGTGCAAGAAAGGGAGGAGAGAGCGGCAAGCAGAGCAGGGACTAAATGAGCAAGGGAGGACTGAACTTGTCAGAGGGAACAGGAACAGATTGTGGATCAGGTCCAGAGGGAGAGGAACCTGTTGACAAAAGGGGACAGGCTGGAATTGAAAGCCAGGTGAGGCTTTTGCAAATCCCAGAGAACATGTACTCATTTCCCTGCTTCACTCCTGGCTGGGAACCAAAGGAGCTAAAAGGGGTTACAGCTGCAGAAAAACAACAGCAGACACACTCTCCATGGCAAAACAAACAAACAAACAAGCAAAATTGCCAGTGTTTTGCTTTGAAAAGGTTCAATACCGAACATGTAGAGCCAACAGCCAAAAGAAACAGGATGCCTTGCTGTGGGAGACCAGGTGGAGGCACTCCGTGGCTCGTCAGAACTTGGGGAGTTCTGCGTGGCCTCTCTCCATGACAGCTGAGGCTCTGCACAGCAGGCTGGGTAGCTCACAGTGGCAGTGGAGTGTCAGGGGCAGGACTCTGGAAGCCCTGACAAGCTGGGCTTGGCCCCCCATCCTTAATAGATTGATTAAGGGACAACAGATAGAGAAGAGCAGAGAAATGTGATTTAGTCAACAGGTCACATTGGGAAGAACAAATAAAGAGGTCTAGTGACCTGCCACCCATCCCCAAGTGCATCTTAGGGGTCCAACTTATGATCACTAGTGTTTGTTTTATGAAATTGGTACATGTATATTGTTGTCTTCTTGGTGAATTCATTTATTAATGTAGTGGTCTTTTAAAACCTTTTCTATGTTTGGGTTAGAGACGACTTTAACAGATACTAGATTATCTGTGGCAGATTGTTTGTTTTTCATCCTTTGCCTCTCAGTCCATGGGAGTCTTTAGTAGTATAACATCCCCCCCCCCACACACTTCTCTTTCTCTCTCTCCTGCCTCCCCAGTGCTGGGATTAAAGTGCCCCCCCACACACACTTCTCTTTCTCTCTCTCCTGCCTCCCCAGTGCTGGGATTAAAGGCGTGCACTGCCACCACCCGGCTGTGCAACCGTCTTTCTTGGAGACACCAAAGTTGGTTCTAGCTTGGTAATCTAGCCTGTCTCTTTATGGCTAGAGATCATTTACCAGACAAGCGTATTAACCAGCTAAGGGGCGGAGCCTAGGAATCATTTACACTAAGGAGATTGAGCATTAACCATATTCTCCGTCTCTGCATTTCTTTCTTCTGCTTGGTGGAATCTATTGAGGATTCTTTCCACTGTGTGTGCACGTGTGTCCGTGCACGAGTGTGTTTAATGATTCATCAACTTTCTTGCTTCCAACACTTCTATTTAATTTTTAAAGTCTCAGTTCCTTGCTGCTGTTTCCCTTCCACTCATATTGCTGATTTTCCCGTCCGTTTTGCTAACTGTCCCTCCCTCTGTAGTTGGCGTCCCTCTCCTGGTCCTGGATTGAGCTCAGCTGCTTCTTTGTGTGCTCTTTCAGAACATCATTTTAAAAGAAAGCTTTGGAAATCTTCCCGGGTTTTCACCTGAGTCAGTATCTTGAGCTTGGAGTTGGGAGTTCTGTTTTTGTAGAAGTCCTGTTGCTTTTCTTTTCTTTTTTCTTTTTAAACAGTGTTTTGCATTTCCATATCACGGTTTGTACACCTGTTGGTTTGGATTTTTCTTCTGGTTTGGGGGGACACTTTCATTGGGCCTCCTACTTATTTATTATTGATGTGGGGGTGGGAGGCAAGTGCCATGACATCTGTGTAGCGGTCAGAGGACAACCCAAGGACTCTCCTCCCACCATGTGGGGTCTTAGGCTTGGTGGCCAGCACTTTTACCTCCTATGCCATCATATATATGGCACCATCACAGACATATATGGATGAAAAACAACGCAGTATATCCCAAGCTCTGCACTGTCAAGAGAATTAGGCAACCGCTGGGGGGCGTGGTCCTGGAGTATGTCTCCTTGAAAAGAGAGAGCTATTGAAATTCCTTGTTTCCTCCCCACTATATATACGGCCCCAAGTGAACGGAGCCTTAGGATGTCTAATTACAGTCTAAATGTCTTTCTTTAGGAGTGCTTGGCAGTAGAGAGAAGCCAGGTGACATGGGGTAAGTCCAAGAGCAGAGCCCTTGAGTGTGCACAAAACACACTCAGGGGAAGAAGTTGACGGTTACAGAGAATGGCCACCTTGTAAGAAGCTGCTGGGGACAGGCTGCTCTTTTTCTGAGGTTTATTGTCCCGTTCTCCCCAGAGTTTTCACAGGGAAAGCTGTGACTGCTCATCTTTGCTCTCCCAATAAAGCATCCGTTTCTGAATGCCTATTCCGTCAGTTCCTGACGCTTGTTCTCCTGACATGTGTGTGCCTGTGCATGTGTGTACAAGGGCACGTGTGTATGGGGGGCACATGCACATGTGTGTACACGTGCTATGGAGGCCAGAGGTCAACTTCAGCTGGCTCCCTCCATCACCACCTCATTTCCTGGCACTCGCTCTGTACACCAGGCTGGCCTCGAACTCACAGAGATCCGCCTGCTTCTGCCTCCCGAGTGCTGGGAGTAAAGGCGTGTGCCACCAACGCCCGGCCCATTTCCTTGCTGTTTAAGGCAGGGTATCTCACTGAACCAGGAGTATACTGATTGGGCTAGACTGAGTGCTCCCTCAGTTGCAGAGGCCCTCCCGTCTCAATGCTGGAATTACAGATGTGCTGCTGGGCTTCTTCATTTTGATTTTTGTAATGTAAGTGCCGGGGATCCAAGCACAGGACCTGTGGCAAGCACTTCATCTCTCCAGCTCCTTCTTCTCTTCCTAAACACTCGCATCTCACACATTGCTGTCCTGATCTTTCACAGTAAGTCACAAAGCGGATGAACAATGTTTGGCAGTCACGAAGGGCGCTGTTACAAACCCTGCAGGGTTGCTACGGGAGTTTGTAGAGTTATGGGAGTTAACATGGGTAAAACACTTGGACCAGACACACGGCTATTGCTGTATCAGGATCCAAAAGCAGGCATGGGGCAAAGCAGTTCTTTGCATGAGGGAGGGAAGGAGATGCTGAGTTCTTCAAAAGAGAATTCTATTTAAATATCAAAGGGCTATGGGAAGCCCTTGGGGGAAAAAAAAACGATGAAGACCTCAGAGAGTATGCAAAAATGACCCTGAGCTGGTCATGTTGCAAGAGTCAAATGACACTTCAAATAACTGTGGCTTTCGGTCCTGGGCAGATGCATTTGTTGTTCTGAAGTGTCAGAGTCAGGCTTCACAGGGCAGATGCTTCCGGTTTGGAGGAAGATGGGAGATTTGGAAATTTCACTGAAAGATCACATTTCAGGCTTTTCATCTCAGTTCTGAAGAGCCAGGACGTCTTGGCAGGAAATCCTAGCACTAGTAACAGAGGGGGGCTTTTGGACTGGGCAATGGAGTCTTGATTATCAGCTTGATTTGCCTGGACATTGAGTGATGTCATGGATCCCATTAACCCTGTGCTGCCCAGAGCACATTTTCAAGTGTGACGGACGATCAGTTCCCAAAGGGCAAGACTGGGACAGCGACACCACATTTCCCATCCTGTCTTTTCCTCACCATCTTCCTGCTGCTCAGACACTTTGCAAAAATGTGGACTATGCAGGGTTGCTTCAAGTGCAAAGCCAACTGTTCCAACAGGAGCAAACACAGCAGATGTTTGAGCTGTTCTTGTGGAACTTTGTTTTTCCTTCTTAACTCAGGAGATACTATGCATCTGACATGCCTTTACTACCAAAATTGGCGACTCTCTGTAACGCTTTTCCTTCCTGTCTGCCTTCCACCCTTTTTTTGCAACCAACATCTGCAACCTCATGAGTTCTGCATGTTCGTATATGGTGATTGTGTTTGTCACTGTGAGTAGGTGTGGAGGTCAGAAGAAGACAACGTCAGGTACTGGTGCCCAAGCGACACCCACCTTTTTCTTTTTTAACAGGTTTGGAACTCTCTAAGTAAGGTTAGTAA